AACCCACGTCCAGAGATTTGATTCTATAGACATGGGATGTGCACAGCAAAACTGTACCTTTAGCAAACACCGCAGGTGACTCTGGAGCAGAGGTTCATGCATCATGCAACTACACTTTGAAAAGCTAAGAGCTATGCAAGGTTTTATTTCTTGGACAAGTAACATAGGGGAAAAAAAAGAAGTCCCAATTTAAGATCAGTGTTCCAGCATTCAGTCTAGAATGAATGGAAAATACCCACAAAAAATTAAAGCATATTATATTAATCTATTCATGAAATTATCAAGGACTAGATAAGAACAGTTGGAGTGAGACTAGAACATAACTGGTGGATATTGAGCGTATTTCTAGACAAGAGTCAAAAGGACTCTGATTAACTGAATTTTTAAAATAAAGGCAATGGAATAATACCAAAAATAATACCAAAGTGTCAGACCTAGAAGAATGGGGGAATGGAAGGAAAGAAATTGGTAAGAGACGCTGATTTGCAAAAGAAAGATGATAGAGCTCCATTTCCAAGTGTGTAATTTAGGATAATAGTGGGGCCCCCTGGTAGAAATAAATGTTCGGCAGGAGGACTGGAATTTGAGAGAGTACAGGACCAAAAATATAAGAGTTAAAATCAGCCGTGAGAAGGAAGTGTTTGAATCTCTAAGAATGGGTCATTTCTTCATGGAGAAAAGTGCAAAGTGAAGAAAAGCAGAGGGTCAAGGAACAGAAAAATCAGGTAAGGAGACCGACAAGCAATTTAAAGACTATAAATGAAGTGTACTGTTCAAATTGGCTAATTTTATATTTATTCTCTCTAAACCTTGAGAAGAGTATTAAATAATTTCAGAGAACAAATTTTGTGATGTGTCGAAATACTAAAAGCCAAGTAATTCTCTGATGAGCTATCTGAAATCAGAAATAACACCCCTTCATTCTTTCATTCATTCATTCAACACCTACTCTATGCTATGCACTCTATGAGGAACTGAAGATACTGAGTGAAATAAAACAGTCCCTGACCCAAAGACGCTAATTTGAATGTTGTTAATAAGGCTACCTATAACCTAAATATAGGTGGGCTTCCAGGAAGCTTATTTCAGCTTATCAACCAAAAAAATTAAAAACAAAAAAACAAACAAACAAAAAAGCATTGCCAGAAGCCTTGAAAAATCACCTATTTACCACTGCTTTCCTGAAAGGGGCAGTGCAGCTGTAACGTAGCATATCATACAGAAAGTTGCCCAAAATTCCTCTTGACATTTCTCTCTCCTCCCAATACATGGTCATTATTAAACTTTCTCCACAGTCCCTGTATGCTTTCAAATTACAAACCTTCTTACCAACCCCCTAGGATAAGGGTTTTATGTTCCAGGACAATCACTTTTCTTGAGAGACCAGTTCACCAAGATTTCTGCCAAATAAAATTCTTTGCAAATTTCCAAATGAAGGTTTATTAATCAAAAATCCCAATTGGTTTATAAGGCATCTGCTCCCTGCTTTGGCTCTGTCTTCAAGATGGACTCACTCAAATGCTCTGGGTCCTTCTGCACCTCCTCAGCCTATAACACTTATATCCTTGCAAATCATGAGCCAGACTCAAAGTTCCTAAATCTGAGATACTGTATGATATCTGTTACCACTAGAGTCTATTTGCATATGTTTTTCTAGGCTTGATTTCTTCAAGTGTACTCCTTCTATGAACCCTAGACCCAATTCCACCATCTACAAAATCCTTCCTTCCAAGATGGACTTTCACTTCTTCAGAAACTAACCACATTAAACAGATTAGGAAGCAACCACTTCAAAATCTCCTTTCCTATGAATTTGTCATTTGCTTTTGATTTCTTAACTGTGAGACCATTTAAATAGTCATTTTTAAATTTTCTAAGATACTGTTTATTGTGGAACCATTTATACTTTTTATTGAAAGAAAAAAATTAAAATCTTTTTGAGACTCAACCCTCATTAAGTAAATGCCTTTTTTGCCTCTGTTACTAAGCAGTATGAGATTAATCATAGTTTCTGTCCAGCATTGCCCAAAGGAGGCTTTGTATTTGGAAGACATGACTGAGTGTTGTGACTAGAAATACGCATCCTTCTCTAAGGGGTCACAGAATTCTCCAACCCTTTGCCCTGATTTAATTTGCTCCCAAAGAGTAATCAGTGGATTGGAGTTAACTGGAAATTACATTAAGTAAATAGATGGATAGATAGATAATATTTTATATTGATATCTATAGATCTATATATGACTTTTTAGTACTGAAAATTCTGCTTGCTTAAATAGTTCAACCTTAAAATGGGTCAGCTGCCACTTACCAGAATTAGTATCTAGTCTCCTTTTTACTAATCTGAAGATATCAGCTTTCACATAACACCTGATTTTCTATTCTATGCAAATAATTCTCAGAAAAAACAAAAAAGGTGGACACATAAAGGAAGAAACGATTTCCTGCTTATGTTCTTCAACTTTAAATGATTTTCATCCTATTATACGGTATATATTTTTAGAAGCTACTTCAAATGCTTTTTGAAAAAGCAGAGTACAAATATAGACACATACTTACATAAGATAGTTCTATTTTCTTCTGAGGCTTCCCATTCTAATCCCTGTTAGAATATTTTTCCCCATTCTGGAAAAACATCTCTCTAACACAGATTTTCTTTTCCTTGAAGGTTAAAGCAGTATCTGTCAAGCTTAATATAAATATAACTATTTTAGGAGCCTCAAAAATCACTATCTTTAGAAGGATGTAAAGGACCTTAAAGCTGATTGGTAAGATAATTAGCATTATGCCCAGCAAAGAGCCAAAGCTAAAACTTTAAGGATGTCTATTTTTTTTTATCATTTTATTTCATATTTCATCATGAGAAGTGTACAAGGATGTTTTTAAAGCTATATGGGTTCATATTTCTTTTGTACAGTCACAGAATTGCCAACCTCAAACTTCTCTAGCTCTAAAATCACTCAGGGAAGTTGTTTTAGGCCATTTAACAGAATGTACATTTGCTCCTTGAACAGATCTATAAGAGCTATTCCGTCTCTCCTGCGTGCTCACCACTCTCCACCAGCAAGTAAGTCGAAGTAGCATTTTGAGTGCAGAGATTAGAAAAGGAATAAAATATTTCAAGCACATTAGGATTTATCCAACTCACTAATGAAATTATTCCTTGAAGACTGACCTCTTTATAATTTTTTTAAAAGTATATAAGCTTTGTAATTTCCCACCAACAGGAAGTCTGCACTTAATACTAAGAACTTACTTAACATTGACTTATATTAATATTTACTACTTATCAGGTACTATCTTAAGCACTTTATATACATTAATTCATTTAATTCTTTCAACAGTCCCATATGATAGACACTAATATCATCTCCCAAGATTGTACAGCTTGTGGGTGGAAGAATCTGACCCCAAAGTCCACACTTTTAATAATTAAGCTGTCTTTCATTTGTCTCTGTTTGGGAGACCTGTATTATTTTTAGAAGCATTACTGAATAGGATGCCTTTTTTACGGACGTAGGTGATCAAAGGTAAGATGAGGGAGAGATGTATCTTTGGGAGGAAAACTGACCTTTTGTCACCACAAAATTTGTGATGCCTTGAATTTAAATACCAGGAAGTCTTTGTAACTCTTATTTTTAGTGCCTATATATGTTTCCATGTAAACATACTTTGAGTAACCAAATTGAAGCTTGGCATGGTATCAGTTATCAATTGTCACAATAATGCTGCTTAGTAAGCTATCCCAAAACATAGAATCTTAAAATAACAACCATTGTTTCTCATGAGTCTGACAGTCAGCTAGGCAGTTTTGGTCTCAGCAAGCCTCACTCACACCTCTGCAGTCAGCTATGGATCAGGCAGAAAGTTCTGCTGATCCGGGCCAGGCTTGATTGATTGTAAATACCTGGGATAACTTGGCTTTGTTCGACCTTCTCTCTCATCCTCCATCAGGCTAACTCAGGCTTGTTTTCATAGTGATGGTGGGGTTGCAAGAGAGTGAGAAGAGTGCAAACGTTTTAAGGACTAAACTTGGGACTTTTACACTCTCATTTCCATTTATTCCATTGGCCAAAGCAACTCACTAAGCCACCCCAGATTCACGGGGTAGGGAAAGGGACCCCGCGGTGTAACGCAAGGAACTGCCAAGTCACATTGCAAGGGATATGGACATAAAGTAAGGAATTGGGCATTTTTGTGATCTACCTACCATTTTACATGCCATTTCTATTCTGAAACATTCTAATATAAGGTCAATTCCCAATTACTGTATACTTATGTATATAGCATATACAGCACGTGCAATAAGATAGACCATATTCATGGCAATAAAACAAATCTCATCAAATTTAAAACAATAGAAATCAAAGTACATTCTCAGACCATAACAGAACTAACTAGAAATCATAATAGAAAGGTATCTGAAAAATCCTCAAATACATGAAAAACAAACAACACATGTCTAACTCATAGGTCAAAGAGAAAGTCTCAAGGGAAATTTTAAAATATTTTAAACTAAATGAAAATTAAAATACAATATTTCAAAATTTGTGTAATACAGTTAAAGCAGTGCTTAAGGTAAATGTATAGCATTAAGTGCCTATATTCAAAAAGAAGAAAGATTTAAAAATCAATAAATTAAACTCTACCTTAAGAAACCAGAGAAAGAGGGGCACCTGGCTGGCTCAGTCGGTAGAGCATGTGACTCGATCTCAGAGTTGTGAGTTTGAACCCCACATTGGATGCAGAGATTACTTAAAAATAAAATAAATTTTTAAAAAAGGAAACCAGAAAAAAGAACAAACTAAACCTAAAGCAAACAAAAAGAATAGTATAATAAATATTATAGCAGAAATCAGTGAACTTAAAAATACAAAAACAATTGAGAAAAATCTATAAAATCAGAGGTAGCTCACACTAAATGAAGTTGAAATGAGAGCTTCCTTGAGATATTATAAGGCATTGATTCTCATACTTTTTAGTCTCAAGACCCCTTTACACTCTTAGAAATTACTAGGAACATCCCCCTAAAAAAATTTAAACACAAGAATACACAATCATAAATTCCTTAAGCCATCATAGAGATATTATCATCACATGTCATGTAGCCTCTGAAAAACTCCACTGTGCATTCAAGAATGGAAAAGGCAAAATCTTCGTATTAGGAAAAAAAAACTTTGAACTCAAGGACATCCAGAAAGGCTCTCAGCAACTCCCATTGGTTCCCAGACAATACTTTTGGGAACTGGAAGAGGAAGATATCCAAGGCGGAGGTAGACTGGAATGCCAGAGTGAATTTATCATATAAGACTTGCTCATCTGCCCCCTAACCATATCGTTTACGAGGGTCCAGAGGACATTACTGTCATGAAGGCAGTGCAATATACATTCATAAGGAGAGTCTCAAGATCCTCAAAGCTCTGGGGTGGCTGTTTTCTATAAATCAGGAAAGACAGGGGAAGCTCCTGCCATTGAACTGGGCCCCTTGAATTCAATAGGGCAGAGTGATGGGGCCAAGCTGATTTCGAAAGACAAAGCGGATATGGTCGCCATATGGGTAGCAAAGCCAAAGCAGTAAATAGAGTGGTTTGACATAGATTATCTTTGGCACAGGTAAGTCATGGTGTCCTTAACGCTGAATCAGATGGGCACCCTACTGAAGTCTTTTTTTTTTTTTAATTCCAGTTAGTGAACATACAGTATTATATTAGTTTCAGGTGTATGAAGTTTAATTTGTAGAAGTGGAATAGGTCTGACTTAAATCACGACAATAAAGATTGTGAGTTGCCCAACAAATTTCCAGAGTGAAGCCTCTTAACTCATGATGAATACTTTACATTAAATGTTACAAGCCCTCTGTCTCCTTGGTTTTCAGCATTTCATAGTACCAACTTTTCTTTCCTAAATTAATCATAATATTCATCATTAATATTTTAAAAGTTTTAACTTAAATCTGACAATGTTACAGCGGGGTTGGGGTTTCAGTAGGAATAGGAACTTGCTGCTTTGAGAATTTGCATTATGCTAAGGTGAACAGGCTTTATTGATACTTACAGAACCAATTGCCTTAATGTTTGGCCAAATTTACGATGCATAAGTGAATTTAGTCTTAGGTAAAGTAACTTCATCTTTTTTAGTTTAGAAAGAACTGTCAAAGCAGCATATATATTGTGCCCAGCATTTTACCACAAAAAAAGAGGGGGGGGAGGAAGGAAGGAAGGAAGAGAGAGAGAGAGAGAAAGAAAGAGAGAAAGAGAGAGAAAGAGAAAAAGAGAGAAAGAAAGAGAGAAAGAGAGAGAAAGAGAAAAAGAAAGAGAAAGAGAGAAAGAGAAAAAGAAAAAAAGAGAGAAAGAGAGAAAGAGAGAAAGAGAGAGAGAGAGAGAAAGAGAGAGAGAAAGAGAAAGAGAAAGAGAGAGAGAGAGAGAAAGAGAAAGAGAAAGAGAAAAAAAAGAAAGAGAAAGAGAGAAAGAGAAAAAGAGAGATAAAGAGAGAGAGAAAGAGAAAGAAAAAGAGAGAGAGAAAGAGAAAAAGAGAGAGAAAGAGAAAAAGAGAAAAAGAGAAAGAGAGAAAGAGAAAGAGAAAAACAGAAAGAGAAAATTAAACTCTTGTCTCTCCAGGGACATGGGAATTTCTCCCCAAGAATACTCATCTAATTCTATCACTTAAATTATTTTTTGAAGCTAGTGGCCTTCTGGTGCACAGAGTTGGCCAATTTATTTTGAAACACAAAAGCACAACAGAGGATTAGCTTCCATCAATATACATACTTTACTGAATACAGATAATTTTGAGGAAACCTCTTTTTAAGAACATTCTATTAGTAACTGCTAAGCCCCATTTTTGGCCTTTCTGCATGTAGGCCCAGAGGTTCTCCTACAACTACAACTTCTTATCCATAGCTGATTGGAGAAGCTCTTTGGTCCCACACTGAAATGTGTTGCCGCGAATGGAAATAGGTACTATTCTGTACCAATTTAGAACACAAATAGTTATTTACTAAGGATTGATTCACTAAACTCTTGTGCTGCTTCTGCTTGAGACAACCAAAATGTGGAAAATATATCCAAATGTTAAGAAACACTGAAACAGGAGCTTAAAGACAAGCTTAGTATCTTTTATCCCTCACTTAATCCTTAGTACTTAAGTTTCTAACAAGGATTTAGCTTGTGGGAAGAAAATGCAAAAAAAAAAAAAGGGAAAAAGGAAGTAGAGGATTAAAATTAACTTCAGAGATAATTCAGGTTGGCTTTGTTACTGACAATAGGTATCATTTTTCCCTAAATGAGTGAAATAACTTTAAATTCACTTAATTGTTCCAGATCATATTAATCTGAATTTCCTGGGGTGGGGGGAACACATATTAATGCTGAAATTCACAAAGTGGAAAAGTCTTTTCAAACTATCAAAGTTATGTCACGGATATAAATTACTGGGCTTTCAACTACCAAAGTGAAAGGTAATTACCCTTAGTGAGAGATTAATTGTAAAAACCACTTGTCAAGAGAACACAGAAACCTATATGATCAGTAAAACAGGCACAAGTTATATCATGATACTCCTCTACTAAAAAGTATCCAATCCCTTCCTGTTTCACTCAGAGTGTTTTGTTTTCCATTACTGCTAAATCAAATTATCACAAATTTAGTGGCTTAAGATAGGGCAAAATTTATTACCTTACAGTTCCCATAGGTCTGAAGTCTGGAGGCTGGGATGAGTCTCTGCTTAGAGTCCCACGAGGCCAAAATCAGGAAGTCAACAAGGATGTGCTTCTTTTTGGAGGCTCTAGAAGATAATCTATTTCCTTGTTCATTGAGGTTGTTGCCAGAACTGAGTTTCTTGCAAGGCTGGAGGACTGATATCTCCATTTCCCAGCTGGCTGTCAGCTGAGGGTTCTTCTCAGATTCAAGAGGCTCTATCTCTGGTTTAGGTGGAGGAGGGCCTCCTCTGACTTTAAGGGCTAATATGATTAGATTGGGCCCACCTGAATAATCAGAGCGACTCTTCCCACCTTGAGGTCATACCCTTTTGATGTTTGCTTGTTTTTTGGCTTTTTTTTAATTGAGGTACAATTAACATACAAGTTTCAGGTGTACAACATGATTCAATATTTTAATGTATTATGAAATGATCACCACAGTCACAAAATTTTTCTTTTTTTTTTAAAGATTTTGTTTATTTGACAAAGAGAGACACAGCGAGAGAGGGAACACAAGCAGGGGGAGTGGAAGAGGGAGAAGCAGGCTTCCCGCAGAGCGGGGAGCCCGATGTGGGGCTCGATCCCAGGACACTGGCATCATGACCTGAGCCGAAGGCAGACGTTTAACGACTGAGCCACCCAGGCGCCACTTTTTTCTTTTTTTTTTAAAGATTCTATCTATTCATCTGACAGAGAGAGAGAGAAAGAGAGGGAGTGCTCGAGAGTGCACAAGTAGGCAGAATGGCAGGTAGCGGTAGAGGAAGAAGCAGGCTCCCCATCGAGCAAGGAGCCCAATGTGGGGCTCGATCCCAGGACTCTGGGATCATGACCCGAGCCTAAGGTAGCTGCTTAACCAGCCACCCAGGCACCCCCAAATTTTTTTTCTTTTTAAAAATTTGTTTGTTTAGAGAGAGAGAGAGTATGCGAGCAGGGGGAGGGGCAGAGGGAGAGGGAGAGACTCTCAAGCAGACTCAGCACTGAGTGCGGAGCCCCTTGTGGGGCTCCATCCCACAACCCTGAGATCATGACCTGAGCTGAAATCAAGAGTCCATGCTCAACCAATTGAGCCACTGAGGCACCCCTGAATTTTTTTTCTTCTGATGAGAACTTTTAAGATCTACTCTCAGCAACTTTCAAATACATTTTATAGCATTATTAACTATAGGCACCATGTTGTACATTACATCCCATGACTTACTTCATAACAGGAAGTTTGTACCTTTTGACCCTCTTCACCCATTTTGCCACCCCACCCACACCTCTCCCCTCTGGCAACCACCAGTCTCTTCTCTGCTATCTATGAGCATGGTTTTGTTGTTGTTGTTGTTCTTCTTCTGTTGGTCTTTGTTTGCTTAGATTCCAAATATAAAATAAGATCATATGGTATTTGTCTTTCTCTGTGTGACTTATTTCACTTAGCATAATGCCCTCAAGGTCCATCCATGTTGTTGCAAATGACAAGGTTTCATTCTATGATGGCAGACTGATATGCTATCGTGTATATATACATTTTCTTGATCCATTCATCCATTGGTGGACACTTAGGTTGTTTCCAAATCTTGGCTATTGTAAATTATGCTGCAATGAACATGGGAGTACATACACTTCTTTGAGTTAGTGTTTTTGTTTTCTTTGGATAAATATCCAGAAGTGGAATTACTGGATCATGAGATAGTTCTATTTTTAATTTTTTAAGGGAATTCCATTCTGTTTTCCATAGTGGCTGCATCCATTTATATTCCCATCAACAGCACACAAGGGTTCCCTTTTCTCCACATCCTCACCAACACTTGTTATTTCTTGTGTTTTTATAATAGTTGTCTAACAGATGTGAGGTGATAGCTCATTGACGTGATATCTAACAGGTGTGAGGTGATTTGCATTTTTCTGATGATTAGTGATGGTGAGCATCCTTTCATGTACCTGTTGTCAAGGGCCATACCCTTAATCATTATCTGCTTAGTTACCCTTGCCATGTAATGTAACATATTCACATGTTCTGGGGATTAGGACACTGACATATTTTTGGGCCATTATTCTGCCTACCACAAAAAAATAGAAGTCAAAATCTTATTAAGGTCTAGAAGATCCAATGCAATCTGAGCCATTACCTCTCATCTATTTTCCTGCTACTCTCCCTCTTGCTCACTCAACTCCAGCTTCCTCTGTGCTGTTCCTTTAACACACCAGGCAAACTCCTGCCTTTGTTCTTGCTGTTCCCTCTGCCTGGAATGTTCTTCCCCAAATTCCACCCTAACAACCTCTTCCCCTTCAAGTCTGCTCAGATCTCACCTTCTCAATGAGGTCTACCATGAATGCTGTGTAACACTCTAGTACTTCTGATCATTTTTTCCCCATAGCACCTATTACCCTTTAACTTATTCTGACTTATTTACTTGATTATTTCCTGTTACCTCTTTCTGCTGGAATGTTAGCTCTGCTCTTTTTTTTTTTTTTTTTAAGATTTTATTTATTTGACAGAGAGAGATAGCGAGAGCAGGAACACAAGCAGGGGGAGTGGGAGAGGGAGAAGCAGGCTTCCCGCTGAGCAGGGAGCCCGATGTGGGGCTCG